CTGTGAGTTCAAGGGCCACCCGGATTTAAATAGTGAGTATACAGCCGCGGCCGCGGCCCCGGGGGACCTTTTTTAAAAAAAAAAAAAAAAAAAAAAAAAAAAAAGAGACAGCATGATCCCATTTGAAGGCCTGATCATAATGATTCCAGTATCATTTTAATTGAGGAGATTTATTAAACCAAGTCACGTCCCTGAAAGCCTCTGTTCTTGTTATTGTTGTTGTTGTTGCTATTGTTTTGAGGTCTCACTCTGTGGCCCAGGCTAGTCTGAAACTCACTATGTAGCTCACACTGCTCTTGATCTTCCTCATGCACCCAAGTTGTTAGGGTTACAAAAGTACACCACCATCACTCTGCTCTCAGTGAGAGAGAAACAGGTCTCTTGGGCCCTGCCCTTCCCCTCAGGCAAGTGTTCAACATCTTTATTTCAGCCCATGCTCAGGCAACATCATTGTTCTCGAATTCTCATAAAAATAGCCCTTCCTCTTTGACTTGATAGCAGCTAAGTCTGTGTCCTCCTGGCCAGACTGGAGGGGCCAGTGAGGGAGGCTTCAGCCAGCAGAAATAGGACTCAGAAGGCTAGTATTAGAAGGCTGGACTGCAATGCAACCTGGGTGAACCATTTGTGCCATGCTATGGAGAGATCCTAGGCATGGTTACAAGTGGAGGAAAAAATCCATTCATACTGCCAAGAATAGGCTGTACAGTAGGTCAGACAGACCAGGGCTGACATTCCCTACCTGACCTCAAGCAGAGCACCTCACCACCACCTGCTTCAGTTCCCATAACATGAAAGTACCAGTAAATATGGGTCACCATGGGCTCTCAGAATGATGAGAGGAAACTCATTTCCACCCTGAAGCACCCGAGGGTCCTGCCCTCCATTTACTCTTTTCTCTACCACAGCACTTCAGCACTCAGCCCTCCCAGATTTAAGTCTTTAGAAAGAACCCCCACCACATTTCAGGTCACAAACATGAGCCTCAGGTCCGAGTGCACAGATTGCCTAGGCTGTGAGACCAGGTCCGACTGCACAGATTGCCTAGGCTGTGAGACCATAGAGAGGAATTGAGTACTGTCCTCACTCCCGTTTAGCACATTTGTCAAGTGGAAAAGCTCAGGCATGTCTGTAGTCTGAAAGGCTGATCTATCTTCCCCAAGCCACCCTAACTCTCCCTTCCTTATCTCTACAAAATATGAACCATCTGTCAAGGATATTACCAAGATACTGAGAGCAAAAACAGACACAGCCCCTGGGCTCATGGAGCTTCCAATGTACTTGAAGAGGTGGGAAAATCAGCTGACATTTCAAGTCCAGCCTGATCTGCTTTTGGTAGGAGATGCCGTGAGCATAGGGCTCAGGGCTCCTCAGAAGACCTGCATTCCAGACTAAAGGCAGAGGAATGAGGGAAGTTGGGAGGGACTGGAAGAAACATAGAGGCTCATTATAGAGTCAACATGGGAAGTAAGGGTAACAATGTGCCTATAGCTCCTGCTCAGTGACCACAGCCCAAATTGAGCATGCCTTTGGAACCAATTCCTATGTCTTTCTCAGCAGCCGTCCAAGAACAAGTCATCTCCAAGTGTAGCCAGACCAAGGCGAGCCTCCCATCCAACCAGCATATGATGCCACCCAAAACTGAGGTCCTCCAGGACAATCTGAATCCAGGAATGAGGCCACCCATGAGTCGCATGGGTATTTTCTCATCAACTCCAAAGAGGCAGCAAGGAACACTCCATGCCAGCCTCCCATTTCTGGTATGCTCAGGCTCGGGTCAGGATCCCATGAGCAGTCTTGGCTCTGTCTGTCCCAAGGCCAGGGCCACCCCTTCAGAAGTGCCCCTGCCCAAGCTCTGCCTCAGCCCCCTGGGCAGCCAACCTTTGACTCCTCACCAACCCACCCTCCCCAGTGTGCCAGCAATGTCTCCTGTGTTCAGTAATGCTGTCTGGGTAGCAGCAGCTGCAGCTGGAGCCACACCAGTTTCGAAGGAGTCACCCCTGAGCCAAGTAGATAATAGCATGCTACCACATTTTGATAACAACTCCATCTTTGCCAAGGCACCCACGAGTGCATCCCCAGCAGCCCTGGCATTTCGATCTCAGAAGGCTGTGGTCCAGGCCAATCAGATAGCCCCACAAGCCAGGCCTGGCCAGAAGGTGCGTGCTGCTCTGGCCAGCCCCACATTTAGCCTATTAGACAATCAGAACCGTGTGCAGAGCCCAGCACAGGGCCTGGTGCCTGTACCGAGCACCAAGTCATTCCAGCAGAGCATGGCCAGCCACTCTCCCATGAGTCCCATTCAGGGACTAGAGCCACCAAGCTATGTGGATGCTAGTGCCGCTGCCAGCCACTCCCCAGGTCCATTGACCAGAATGGGCACACCCCCTGAGCTGCTACAGGACATTGTCTTGCCCCAGACCCCAAGAGATGGACCGATTTCACCATCATCTGCAGGCAGTGAGGTGGATTTCATTGAAGAGCTTTTGAAAGGCTCCAATGTGGCCCCAGATGAAGACTGGGTGTACAACTTGAGGCTGATCGATGACATTTTGGAACAGCATGCTGCTGCCCAAAATGCCACAGCCCAGAATGCTGATCAAGTCACCCAGGGTGCTGAGGAGCTTTAAATCAGAGGAAGGTGCCCTAGAAAGCCCTTTGTTGTTACTCAAAGAAGTGGCCTGAATCTGCAGCAAACTCAAAACTGGTCCCAGACAGCCATACTAGGCTCCTAGTTACAACCGGAATCGGGAATTGTGTCAGCCCTGCCCATCCCTCTATCTACCTGATGAATGAAAAGCTGGTGATTTTTCAAGCTACTTGTACATATTTGAAAATTTTGTAAATGGTTTTCCTAATCATAAATGACAGAAGTATTTATACTTGGTTTTGTGGCTTTGTAAATAAAGTGGCGGCTTTGGTTTCAATAGAGTTGTGTTTATTATACATTGTTCCAAATATGCAGACTGTGTTGTTCGCTCCAATGATACCTTGTTAAACCAGGTGGCTGAGTCACTGAGGTTTTCACACCATGAGAAATGTGGATGTGATCAAGGGGTGTTGTGCAAACTGACAAACGCCAAATAGAAAGCCACTTGGTCATTAATTTCCACTTCATTACAAATTGTACTACCTGGTGTGACTCTTAATCTCTTGCAAGCCTTTAAGTCTCAGCCAGCACTTTCCTAATGAGCATTTCCAGCAGAAGGCATTGTATTGTTAAGTGTCCCCCAGAGACCCTGCTGGGAGGCCAAGCATGTCCTTTAGGTTTGGGAGAGCTGCAGAAATAGCCCTGAGCTGAGCACTGTGTGAGTTGGCCACCTGGAGGAACTAGAGTGCTCCCTTCCCTTTGTCACCTATGGTGACCTTCCAACGCAGAGAAAGCCCCAGCTTTACACCGCTTTGCTGCACCATCACAGAGTGAAGGTGAGCCGGTCTGCTTTAGAGTCTGCTTTAAATCCTTCAGCACTCATTTTGATGTTAAGCTCTGTGATTTGGGGTGGGGGGGAGTCTGTAAACATTAATAGTTGATTTGGGGTTTGTCTTTAATGGTTTCTATCTGCAATTCTTGTCATGTATATTTAAGTGTCTGTTAAAGAAAATCCACATCCACTGTCCTGTAAACTTTTCTGCCTGTCCAGATTTTGTGTAAGCACATTTTAATTGCCACCTTGTATTTTGATTCTACATTTGAAATCTGGCATCTGTTTTGGGCCAGTGCATTTTTTTCTTTGTTCTGTAATAAACAGCCAGGAGAAAGGTGTCTTTGTGTTTTCATTTTCTTCAGAGAGCATCCAGACCCTACAAACCCAAACCATACCTGCTATGGTCTGTGGTTCCTTCTGAGGCTACTTCATGTCTTGTGCATCACAAAAATGCTTCAGCAGAGTCAGAGTAGTGTGTGTGTGTGTGTGTGTGTGTGTGTGTCTGTCTGTCTGTCTGTCTGTCTGTCTGTGTGTATGTGTCTGTGTGTACAAGTTTAGGTAGCATGTGCTCTGGAAATTTGCCATTAAAGCCCAGAACCCAGTCATTTTGATCCCATTTTACAGAGGCAGAAAGAAAACAAGTAGCCACTTTACTAATTCCATATTGGGGACAGGCATGGGAGACAGACTCTGAGATCTAGACTCTACCCACATCCTTCTCTCTTTGTCAAAGCTCACCCTTGCTCTCTCTGGTCAGATCCTGCCCCAGCCCAACAATATGGACTGAGTGTGGTTCCAGACAGAATTGAGCTCCTTACTTTGCCATCTTTCTAATTTGTTGTGTGTGTGTATCACTGTTTTGCTTGTATGTATGTATGTATACCACATGGATGCACTGCCTGTGGAGGCCAAAAGATGGTGTCAGATCCCCGGGAACTAGATTTATAGGTGTTTGTAAGCTGTCTTGTGGGTGCTGGGAATGAAACCTGGGTCCCCTGTGAAGGAAAATCAGCCTATAACAAATAGCTGAAGGAACTGACCAGCCACCCAACCTGCCCACCCCTCCCAACTCCTGGAGGGACATAGATCTACTTTAGAATACATGGCCCCCAGCAAAAGACATCAGGATTCTTATCTGCCTCCTCCTAGATCTGGTTCCTTGTCAAACTCCCCATCAGAAATCCCAGGAAGGAGCACCACTCAAGAAGGCATGCCCTGCCTCCTAGGATTCTGGAAAGGCACCACCTTCTGGGACTCTGGGAAGGTACAACCCCCTTTCTGGTATTTTATGGGCCCACCTATAAATCCTAGGCCTCCCCCAACCCAACCTCCATTCCCACAGGATGGTTGTATGCCCCTGGTAAGCTATCTGCATCTGTTGAAGGCCGGATTCCCTTTCTACTTCTTTATTGAGTCACCTTCTCATCCCAAATTCTAAAACTGCAAGAGCAGCAAGTGCTGTTAACCACTGTACCACCTCTCCACCCCAAAGATACTTACATTGCTTTTTGTTTTCTTCTTTGATTTTTGTTTGTTTACTTGTTTTTTGAGGCAGGGCCTCACTATGTATCCATGACTGACCTGGATCACTATGTAGACCAGGCTGGTCTTATACTAAGAGATCTGCCTGCCTCTGCCTCTGGAGTGCTAGGATCAAAGGTGTATGCAACTATGCCTGGCTTTGTCATCATGGGATGTGGAGGTGGCCCCAGGAATCAGGAGATATATTGCAGACAATGAGCCACAAGGAACAGATTCTGCTCTTCTCACAGAAGAGGTACCCATTCAGAGGGGTTGGATGGAAGGTGATCTTGAGGACGGATGACATACCCACTGCACAGCAAGTGGACCCGCGCTTAAGACCCTAGTGGTGTACCCAGGTAGCTGTGTACCCTTGTAGTGAGCCTAAAGGTCTCAAGTCCTTTTCCCCTGCCTTGAACTTCAGCCTGCACTATACCCAACCTTGTTAATTCTGAGTGGTGGAGTCTGTTCAGCAGCATGTGCACAGCAAGGTCAACATCGCCTGTCCGCCTGGTCCAGAACACCAGTGGAAAGAGAGGCATTTCAGGGACCCGCCTCATCTCTGGAGAAGGAATTCTGCCTCCTGGAGTCTCCATCCCTTTTAATCCTACTGCCCAATCCTAGCAGTGTAGGAGGCATGTCCTTCCCCCTTTTCTCTCCTTCCCCTCCCTGACCAGTTTTTACAGTCAAGAGACTTTGTTGAAAGTGATCAGTTTTAGTTTAAACAGCTACAAAAAACAACAGATACTCCTGTGGGACTTGCCTTTGGGCCACTTCCATCATGGCCAGAAAGCACCTTCCACAGACCTTCACCTGATGTTTGAAGGGGATCCTAATAAGAACTGCCTCTTCCACCAGGTCGACAGGACCTAGACAGCAGGTAACAGGAGTTTATAAATGGAACTAGATCTTCCCAATAGGGGTAGGGAGCTAGTTGGGAACCCCCATCCACAAATAGCATAGCTGAAGCAACAAGCTGAAATCTGATGTAAAGTGCTTTTGGAAGACACCCACACCCAAAATTCTCAATGCTGTTTGTTACTAGGGGCAAAATCCCCAGGGATGGCACAACCTCTTCGGTTATCTGGCCAGAGGACTGAGAGCAACAGTCATTCAAAAGCCCTAGCTTTGTTGGCACCCACACACACAGACATCTGTTGCCTACTGCTGAGCATTCCACTTAGGTTCAGGTAATAGATGTGTGTCTTATAGTTAGCCAATACTCTCCTAAGAGTACTTGTCTTCTGCCTCAACTGTCCCATTGTTACAGGGATGGATCAGAGTGTGGCGTGCCCTCACTGAGATTTCCAGGTTCTTATGTCTGGGAACAAGGAATTGGACCCGGTACATGGATTGTCATAGATAATACAGTTTATTAAGAAAGAGAAAGGCATGTTTGAGAATGAAAGTGAGCTGGAGAGCTGGACAGGATCTTGAGCTCAAAAGGCCTGGTCACGAGGTATCAAGACCCTTTACAGGTCATTTCTGCAGCACTTGTCTTCTTCCACATTTGTCTATCACATGCTTTTCTCATGCATGCTGTCTCTTACGTGTACCTGTGCTCAAAGGGGGCTCCAATCTTCCTCTGCCACTGGTTTCTTGTTCGTCTTAATTCCTCTTTCTCCCCATGTCCTACTGTCCTTCCACACCACATACGCCAGCTATCAAGCAGGCCCCAGCTACCCCTCGTGGCCATACTGGAGTTCTTGGGCCCACCTGTTTGTCCATCTCACTCAGTTGGTCCAGGTGCACCAAAAGTTGGGTTCCAGGAGCCCCATTGGCATTTTGCTAGTAATGATGAGCCACAAACCCAGTAAATATTGCTCAAAACCTGCCAGTCAGAAAGCTAATCTGCATGCCCTGTAGAAACCTTTGCCTAGCCCTTCTGAGATGCCTTTGCAGCTGCTTAAGAGCCTCATGGGTCAGAGCTATGCCTTCTCTGGCTCTGCCCATTCTCTAAGAAACAAAATAAAAGTGGAACTTTACACACCAGGCTGGTTCCTTCTTCCATTGCAAGAGGGTCAAACTTTTTAAATCACCCACAGAACATTGGCAGGATAGGTCAAAGAACAGAACAGCTCACTGATCATTCCCTGCCACCTGAACCCTGCCTGTTTTCACTGCCCGCTTACTATCTCAGTGGCTTTTGCTTCATCTCTAAAAGTGGTAACTGTCCCAGGTTGCTTTTGGGGACATATAGTCCCGCAAAGCTATTCTCACTGCTCCCTCTCACCTATTCCATCAGCTGTTGGGCTCCGCCCAGAGGTACCTGTGTAGCATAAACTTAAGCTCTCTCCTTCCCTTCCCAAGGAGTGCCAGCACTTGTCTCCCCTTCCCACTCACCCCTAAGCCAGAGCAACCCAGCTCTTGCTCAGTTCCTTCCTCCCAAATCCTCTGGTCAAAACACCAAATTCCTTGTGCCCATAAAGCCATGGCATGCAGCCTACTCCCTAGTAGACTGGCTTCTTCAATAGAGTTGTGATGCCCTGTGGCTTCTGGAACCTCTTTCCCTTGTCCCTGACCCTGGACCACTCCTGCTTTGAGGTCCATTCTTTCCTGTCACTCCCAGGGAGGTATTACTCCTGCCACTGCTTCCTCTCCCTTTACTGGGGGTTTCCTCTTCCTCGTCTGTCTTCTGGCTCTATCTTCTAATCAAACAATGGGCTCAGGAGACTACATCAAGCACTGCAGCACCCCCACAGCTCTGTATCTGAGCACCTCAGCTGAGAAGAGTGCTGTGCATCTGTTCAGGGCTCTAAACTTGCATTCCCCTGCTACGCTGAGTCCCCATTGGTCCCTTGAAAAAAGGGTGTGGATTAGTTACTATTTCCATTGCTGTGACAAAGTATCTGACAAAAGCAATTTAAGCAAGGAAGGGTTTATTTCAGCTCACAATTTAAAGGAGAATATGGTCCATTTTGACGAGGAAGGCACAATGATAAATGCATGAGGCAGCTGGCTGCGTTTGAAATACATTGTGTACATGGATGAAATGTCAGAATGAAACCCACTACTATATATAGTTAACATATGCTAATAAAAACTTTTAATTCTTTGAGAGTTTAATACATGAGTACTATATTATCTTATATCTCTCTCTCACTCTGTCTCATACAATTCTTCCCCCAAACCCCTCTCAAATTCATAACGTTTTCTTAATTATTATTGGTACATAGGTATACATACATATACAACCTACTGAGTCCATTTAGTGTTGTTCACATGCAGATGTATTTAAGACTGACCACTTCAATTGAATAACCTATCAGGGGACTCATCTCTAGAGAAAATTGATTCTCCCCTCTCAGCATCCATTGATTACTTGTCGCTCCTCATCTAGGAATGGGACTTTGTGATATTTCTCATTCCCATGATGGTGTGTCAACTGGTGTTGACATTATGCTTGTCATGTTTAGGCAACTGTATTGTTCAAAGTTCCTGAGGGCAGCATCCCTATCATGTGTAGAAGACACTATCTTACAGCAGTCATCCTAATTCTCTGGCCCTTAACATCTCTTCAACCCCTCTTCTATGATGTTCCCTGAGACTTCGCTATAAGGGTTGCATTGTTGATGTATCAATTGGAGCTGGGCACCCTGCAGTCATTTATACTCTGCATTTTGACCAGTTGTGGATCTCCATAATAGTCTCCATCTGTTGCAGAGCTTTTTTGATGAGTGCTGAGAGCTATGCTTATCTGTGAACATGAGGATATTTAGAATATAGTAAGAAATTATACTGATTTAGGAAACTGACAGTAGTAGGTTCTCCACCAGGATCTATGACCTCTCCAGCCGTGGTGTGTCCCGAGGGGCAC